CAGTTAGTGAGGGAGATGGATGGAGGACACAAAGGGGACTTGGAGGGATCAGTTTCGTTGGATCCGSGGGGTGTAGGAGAGCAATATCTCCTATGAAAAAAAAAAGGTAAACAGAAACAGATTCATGGGTGCAAAAAAGAAGTTTGGGCAGAAAACAAAGTGCTTGTCTTGCACCTTTTCTATATTTCATGGGTCTTGATGGTTAACCAGGAAAGGAACTCAATTTTCAGCCAATGCAATTGATCTACACTAAGCATTTTAATTGGCATGAAAGTGCACACGCAAAAACCCACARTAGATGTCCCTTTAAACCAGTTACACTTTTCTGGCGTCCTGTTCGTCTCCCTCCTGCAGCTCAGCTGGTGTACAAGCGACAGAAAAGGAAATCCCTATAGGATCCTGTTCTAGGATAAAATGGTCATGTTTGAGAGATTTAGTGAGACAGTGGGCTGGGAACAAAACCAATGTGAAAAAAGTGTCTGAGACATACAAAAGAAGGCAATATCTGTGTACGATATCCAGGGCTTTTAACAAGACTCCAAGAAGCCTTTTCAGATATTTAAGACTTAAACCAGTGAAGGTGCATACACGATATTTTTTGCTGCTCTGTCAGTGGTTAATAGGGTTTCTGGTTAAGAAAACCCAATATTTCTGCTCTTTTTGCTCTTTTTATCCTAAAGGATAAAACCATTTTATAAAAAATATTTTCAAAATATTTGTGATAGAATCAAGGCATACCCAGGTTTTGGCACACAAAATCTTGCACTTAGATTTTGTTGAGACTGTTAACACAATACATCCTGGATTCTCACCCAGTTGGCTGGCTGTCTAGACCAAAAACTCCCCTGTGTTGTGCCTTTGAGCTCAAGAACCAGAAAATTTGTGACAAGAGCTGTGATTAGTTCCAGCAGAAGCTAATGCATGGCCCACCAAAAGAGTGAGCATGAACAAGCAGCAGATCAGAGCTCAGCAGCAGCGCAGCCACTTCACACCAGCCTCACCTCCTGMCGTGCCTCGTCAAAGGCACCAGTCTGCTTCTGTTAATGATTAACCTTGGCAAACTGGTCTCACATGTTCACACCAAGTGTGGCTAATATTTCTTTAGTTCATCCTTATCTTTCTTTACATTGCCCAAAGTAATTTATTTTTTMAATTACAAAGGAGTCTGTGTACATCCTTTCTAATAAATATTTGCACATACATGAATTCTCTAATGTTCATGATGAGTCATGTCATATAATTATGAGCAAAATACTTAGTTTTCCTTTAAAAAAGATTCTGTTTCCCCAATTTCAAATTTAAATCTTTATAAAGCTGCCATGTCAGCACTGCTCTGCAGTTATATTCACTTCCAGTGTATTTATTTCATGGTGGTTTTTTGAATGAAGTTGAGCATGCTTACAAAATTCCTGAACTGTTACTGAAATGCACTGAGGAAAAAAAAATATTTCTCATGATGGGAAAAATGCGATCTCCAGTAAAGTATTCTAAAAATGTGGGAAGCTTAATATGGTTGCATTGAAATCTCAAATATATTACATTCTGTCGGTAAAAAGTGTTTGACGGGTGGATATCCACTAGACAACAGCAATACCAGTTGTATATGCCCTCAGGGGAATAAAAATAAGGCAGCTAACATGAAAGAAAAAAAAAAAAAAAGCTGAAATAAAATGGGATTTTTCCTAGGTTTATAAATTTTATTGCCACATGAGTGGCAATCTATATATATAAATCTATATACAGTGTACCCAGAACACAGATGAAGAGAGTTATCTGTGAGCTGAGCTACATCCTTTCCAGACAATCTTTACTACTTTAGATTTTTTTTTCTCTGTTAATTACTTTGGATTATCTGCATGAGAACTTCTACCTTTCCAGTAAAGGAAAAGTTACTGTGTATTTATAAGGGAAATTCACTTTTCCACATAGAGACATTTCTTAATGAAATGAAAAGCAAACAAGCTACTCTCTGGTGTACAGAAAACCTGGTGTGTTCAACAGAAGGATGTGAAGCTGAAGGTCAGCAGTCACAGCTGGCTGCATCATTTTGTCTCGTACTGAATGTCACCCACACAGTCACTAGTGCTCAGTGTCACACTGAGAGGTTTGGCAGGGCAGGGAGGTACTRGAGAGGTCTAAGAAAAATCGAGATAAATTAATAGAGCTGATGCCATCTGTAATCTCATCTAGTCTCTATCCTCCTCGAAGATTCAGTCTGAAAGGGTCTGTCCTTTCAAGATGGGCTACATGAAGGAGAGGCAATAACATTACCTAGAGATGTTGTTGCTGGCAACGGGGTTAGAAAGAAAGTAAAAGAAAACTCAGAGAGAGGGAGAGAATAGAAATGTAAGAGCTGAACCTCCCAGCATGACTGGAAAAATCTTCAAAGGAAAACAGGGCAAATTGGTAGCAGTATGAGCACTTTTGCCCACAGCCACAGTCAATGCCTGCTAAGTTCTTATCTGAGGACAAGTGGATTAGCATTGGCTTTTCCACAGAGAGTAGAATGCCTAGCTCCCAGTCTCCTAGTTTTAATTGCCAGCCCTTATATCCCATGAAAGCATAAATTTACCTGATTTGGGGGAAAAATTGGTAGGAACACCTCCCCCCCTTTGGAAGTCAGCCACTGTGCAGCCAAAAATGCTCCTACTGAGAGCAGGTGAAGAGGGAGAATGAGTCCCCAGTCTTTACAGGCGAAACCCCCATGGTTAGAGACAACCAGCACAATTTTCAAGCTGTTGTCTTGGCACCAAGCCCAATTCCACAGTCAGTGCTGCAGCCCTCCTGCAGGCACTCAAACCCCTCAGGAAAGTTTCACAGAAGCTGTCAGATTGTGAACATCCTCATTTGGGCATCCAAGACTACTCCACCCACGAGGGCCTTATATCAGCACCATGAACCTCCTGTGGGAGTCAARAGCTGAAATTCTGACCATATGCTGTCTTGCTCAGCACTTTAGTGTTTTCCCTAGATCCTCGTATTATTGCACTATTCATGAGACCACCGCTGGACTCATACAGTCATTTCTCACACAAACAAAACCAGCCTCTGTAAAGTAAATCCCTCTGAATACAAGTCACAGTACTTCTTTTTTTTTCAGAACAAAGATGTCTTAATAGAGATCTTCTAAAATAACAAATATTTTACAGCATCTTGTAATATTACTTTAGAACAAAAATACCAGTTTATCAGTAATACAAAGCATACAACATAATTCTTCTAAAAAAAGGAAACAGAACTGAGCCTCTTAATTGTGAAATTAACTTTTTCATTTATTAGGGTCAGTTCAATATTTGTTTCATTAATTTTAAAGTGTAGCTTATGTATAAAATAATTTTGGCTTTTGTTGTAACAAAAACAATGGACTTGTTATGCCATCAGTAATTCAGTAATATGTGCCACAAGTAATTTATAAAGTTGATTGGTTCCCACAATTAGCTTCAAACGCTATAATGCTTCAAGCTCTGGCAATAACCCCAKGTTTGCATTTGCCTGAAAAGATGAAGTTTGGTGATTACATAGTTCTTTCATCAGTAAAACTATAGCCAGCATAATCAGTGTCCAGCCCTGATGAAAGGGAGGTAAGAGCAGCCCCTGCCTCTTCAGGAAGGCTCTGCTGAGGTGGCCTAGGGCAACAGCTCCAGATAACTCTCCTGCTCTTTCATCCCGGGCAAATGGGGGCACAGTGCCTTGGCAGCAGAAGGTTTTCAGGATGTTAAAGCATGAAAAACTCACTATCAACTCACTTGTAGTCACTGAACTCAAATATTCACTGTCAACCTCAAAAGTTCAAAGTCTAATTGTAAATCACTGTTTTTATTCATTTTTTTCTTATATTTTGTATAAACTCCACATTCTATAGAAACTTTCCGATACCACACATATGTGTTGCTGAAACCCACTCATATCACAATTATTTTCTTCTTTACTGCTGCAGTATTCTTAAGAAATTCTTGGATTTTTCTACATCAAATCAGAGCTATGGAGGCGAATTGGAAAAGATAAAATTAAAAGCTTAATTATATTGTGTTTTAAAAGGAAGTAGAGAGGGCTGCCATTGCTAAAATCTCTAATGTGACCAGAGGGGCACAGGAGTAAGAGAAATTCACTTAGTAAGGTATCAGATTTACATCATGTCTGACAAGAGGACTATTGGCTTCCTTATACTTCACTCCACAGGGAAGATTCAAAACATCCAGGATAGGCTAATAACAAACTCCTACAGGGACATTCAAATTATGTATCATATTTAAGGTTTATTTCCCAGTAATGCACACAAACAATTGTATGAGAAAAGTCTGTCACAGCCATTTATCTGGAGTTCCTCTGCAATAATGCCTCATGCAGTAGGTCAGCAAAATTCAAGATGTGTTTTTGCCAAGTGATCCAATGGCTTCATGCAGAGGGCTGTGAGAGAAGGCGGCACCTTTGCTGCCCCACTGGCTGCCCTGTAATGCCCATCACATGTGGTAGAACTGTACCCTCTGTCTGTGGAGGGACATGGATATGGACCAGGGAGAGGGATGGACTTGGGGGATCCATGCACTGGGGAGTGAAAGAGAAACACTGCGGGGCTTCTGTGCACTCTCCCTTGGAGAGGAAGGAGTGAACCTTGCCCAGTCCTTGCTATCATTTTTCTTCAGAGGAGATTCAGGTCCCGGCCCCAAATGAAGGAAGCACTTTCTAGAAGTTATGATCTAGACATCTGTTTGACAGGGAAGTGCAGGATTTCAACCTTCTTTTTCACAATATTTATTACCATAAAAAGATCCTCTCCTCAACATACAGGATTTTACATCACCAGAAAAAAAATGGCCTGCAGAAAGCCCAGCTGCCCATACCAGCTTGAAGACTTTCCTTTAGGATCCAGAGGCCTCTGGGGAAATCATCTAACTTTGCAAAAAAAAGAGACCAGGACAAAAAGGGATCTGTGTTTATTCCTTCATCTTTAAGGAATCTTAGCTGAGGCTACAAAATCCTTCAGGGTGAGAGCTACTCACCTGCTCAGTGTTTTGATCACTGATTTCTTCAAGGTACTTTTTAAAAGGATTAGGTTGATAGGGCTCCTCTTTTTGCTGTGCACTCTTTCCTTTCACCAGCACAGGACGAATGACACCGGGTTTTGTCTTGACCCATGGCACATCCAGRAGAAAAGAGATGGAAGAAAAATAACAAAATACTTTACAATTTATGGAATATTTGTTAGGCAAGTCAATTCAAAACAGTGGGGCTGCACTGACGAGGTTTTAAAAAATTATAATTATGACATATTTCACCACCAAAGTTATTCAAGTGTCATGCTGCCTGGACACTTCTAATACAAATTGTGGACAAAAGTGGCAAGAGCTGCTTTTAGGCATGGAACTTCATCATTAGCATGTGTTTCTTACTGACAAAAAATARCTACTGAGTTGTCAGACAGTGGTTTGTGGGTTTTGCTGGCTGTTTTTTTCCTGGCTGTTCTGCTGCAACTTGGTAAATTCAAGTCACACTTTACACACAGCCACACATCCGTTTTCACACAGGCTCCTCAAAACAGTAACTGTGAAACAAGGAAGGACAACATGTGATGGTGTTGACTTACACCCAGGCAGAAACATGTCAGGAGAAAGTCTTTCTGGGGAATAACACCAGTGATTGCATGCTGGATTTCATAGTCACAGAGTCATAGAGTCACATAGGTAACCATCATTGAGTTCAGCCATAAACCTAATACTGCCAAGYCCACAACTAAACYWTGTCCCTAAGCACTCCRTTTACACATCTTTTAAATGCCTGCAGAATATTGTGTCCAATGAGGGGAAATTTTAAGACATAGTACCAAAAGTGGAGACATATGATCGATTTCAGGTAAATGATAGACATGTAGAATCATAGAATTGGTTATGTTGGAAAAGGCCACCAAGATCATTGTGTCCCACCATTGACCTACCACTGCCAAGTCCACCAGTAAACTACATCACTAAGAACARCATCTACAYATCTTTTAAATACTTCCAAGGATGGTGATTCAACAACTTCCMTRTGCAGTCSGAAGAAATTTTTCTTAATGTCCAATATAAACCTTCCCTGACACAGCTTGAGGCCATCTCCTCTTGTTCTATCACTACCTCACTAAAACTAAGGTGTTKGTAGAGAGTGATAAGGTCTCCCCTGAGCATCCTTTTCYCCAGGCTAAACACCCCCAGCTCCCTCAGCAGCTCCAAATAGAACTTGCTCCAGACCCTTYACCAGCTCTGCTGCCCTTCTCTGGACTCACTCCAGCCCTTCAATCTCTTTCTTGYCATGAGKGGCCCAGACCTGGACACAGCACTCGAGGTGTGGCCTCACCAGTGCYRAGTACAGGGTGACAATCACTGCCCTGGKCCTGCTGGCCAYACTACWGCTGATACAGGCCAGGATGCCACTGGCCTTGGCCACCTGGGCACACSCTGGCTCATGCTCAGCTGCTSTYRKYCAGSAYCYCMGGGTCCTTTTCCTCTGAGCAGCTCTCCGGTCACTTTGCCCCCACCCTGTAGCTCTGCATGGGGTTCTTGTGACCCAAGGGCAGGRCCCAGCACTTGGCTCTTGTTGAACCTCACACAATTGGCCKGGGCTCATCAATCCAGCCTGCCCAGATCGCTCCATAGAACCTTCCTGCCCAGGAGACAAACACTCAGTTTGCAAACTGGCTGAGGACACATTAAATTGGTTCATACAGATCATCAGTGAAGACACTAAGGGGAGCAGGATGTAGTTCCAAGCCTTGAGGAACACCCCTTGTGACCAGCCACCAGCTGGCTTTACCTCCATTCTCTCTGAGCCTGGCCACCCAGCCAGTTTTTCACTCCAACTCCCTCTGAGGTTCCCCTGGCTCAGRAAGCCCCTCCATGCACCCCACAAGAGCAGACCACTCCCTGATCATGCCAGCACCAGAGCCGCTCACCTCAGTGACAGTGACAGAATCTTTAAGAGTTCAGTTACAATTTTAGAGAATCTGATCAGCACAGATATGTGATACCCATCATTTCAGACAAATTGGATTATTTAAGCAAGAAAATATTCCTCAGTTAGCAACCAGTCAACCAAAAAAAATTTACTATTAACTTCTCAAATTTGTGATTTTTTTTTTTTAAWWYT